AAGATTCGCCAGCCAAGTTATATATTTTTTAAAATAAATTTAGATTTTATTGTTAAGTAATGACAATGAGAAAAATGTTCCATATAACATTAAAAAATGCAAATTTAATTTAAGGGATGCTTATAAATTCAAAATCAAAGAAAAACTAGTAACAAATAAAATGAAATCGATAGTAATGTAAATGATGACCTGCCATACTTGATAGAAATCAAGGAATATTTAAAAGAATCTTTATATATAGAAAGTATAATAACATATTTTTTATATTAATTTAAATATTGCTTGGTTGGACTATGATCGACCCATTTGTTTGGGTGATATCTGATTATTTTTCAAAATCAACAAAAGATAGGGTTTGTATGAAACCCACTATTTTATAAATGCTAATTTTATATTTGTGTTCTTTATTTAGACAACTCGAATAACATTGATGATATTGATATTATATCCCTAGTGAATCCACTTAAATATTCGAGAGTTAATGCTGTAAAATATCGAACTTTATCAAAACTTGATGTAAATTTTTGGCGTCTCCAGCAACATACTTCAGTACGGCAGGGGATATTGATAGTCCTCATCGTAGAAGCCTATTGCCTGAAAATCTAGAAGCTCTTTTATTTTAAAAAATCTAATATATTATAATTTTATATATTAATTATTAAAATTTATAATTCATATACTAACATAAAATGGATATATTATTATATTTATTTTATCTATTGTAATATAATTTTTTTTAAATTATTGTTGAAATAAAAAAATTAAATTAAATGCATAATTCTTTTACATAAAAAATATTGATTTCTTAATTACATTTGGTTCAAAAAGGGGTGGTAAAAAATCAATATAAATACCGGATCGGTTTTGAACCAATTTCGGATCGGATCGATGAAAAATATGTGGATCGGTACAGCCATAAAAACTTAATATTATATCTAAATAAAATGTTATAAATTAATCAAGTAAAATATTAATCTTAAAAATTATTAATAATATCATTTATAAATGTCCCATTTTATTTGCCAAATCTTCCCACTACACCTTAATATTTCCTGAAAATTTTTTTTCTTTGTTAACTTCCATTTTTTATTGTTGCATTCCTTCGTCCTACACGTCCACTTAATTCTTTTGTTCCCATGTTATGCAATAATATCATTTATAGTTATACTCCATCAACTAAATCTTATTTTTATTATTATTTTTCTTTGTTATGCAATATTATAATTTAAAGTTATACTCCATCAACTAAATCTTTTTTTTTATTATTATTTTTCTTAAATTTTTAATTCCCCCTCCCTTAATCTTGTTTTCTTATTCTTTATGCATCTAATTTTTATTATTTTAAATTTACCAACCCCCCTAATTTCGATTGTTCATAATAATACTTCTTACAGTTCTTGAATCTTTCTTTTTTTTCAATTTTTGATTTTTTCTTTCCCCCATTTTTCTTGTTTATACCTTTTTTTTGTATCTTAATAATACTTTTTATACTTTATGTATCTAGCCTTATTTTATAAAATTTTTTTTTATACTTCTGATAGGATAGCTCATGTATCTTTCTCTTTTTCAATTTTGATTTTTTTCCCCATTTCCCTTGCTAATATCTGTTTGGTTTCTTTTTCTCCCATTCAAAGTTATATCCGTTTTTTTTTGTTTTCCCCCTTTCAAAAGCCATCCCATGGTAAACTCTTGTTGTCAAGTATGCTTAAAAATATTTCCCTTAATTTAGATGGCGTGTTTAGGAAACATGGTTCACCCGCTTGCTCCATTTCTGGAAAATTTCCCTTCTCATCCGGCCCAGATCCTTTTATTAACGCTCCTCACTCGTATGACCCCAGTCGGGCTTGTTGTTCCTCAAGCTCTGTTGATTTATTCCTTAATTCGCATAAGCCCCCAGTTCTTTCTAGGATCCCTATAGCCACTCGAGAGTCTATCTCAAGGTTCCTTATGTCTCTTATGAATAATTTAAACTCAGATTTCTCCTCAATACCCTTGTTAATTAGTTTCTGCTTTCGAGTTTAAGTTAAGCCCAGAATAGAATAAATAACTTATCTGCCTCAATCAAGGAGAAGGTGTACAATTTTGGAAATACGATTATCGATGAATTTTCTCCATCTAATCCCAACTCTTTCCGTTGTAAATTGATCTCTGAAAAATTAGATCTTGGAAATATTAGCGGTGCTGCGGCTGCCCGAATATTGTTTTCCGATGATTCTATTTCACCTATCAACGTTACTATATTTAAACAACTTCTTGAAAAACATCCACTAGCGTCGCCTTTTAACATCCACCCGCATGCCTCTTCCCCTATTCCCTTTACCTGTGACGAAGTACTTAAATGCTTAAAGTCCTTTAAAAATAGGACGACAGGTGGGTTGGACGGCTTCAGACCTGGTTTTTTGTGGATTTAATAAAATGCTCCGATAGTGGTTTTATTGACCCTTTGCTGAAATTATTAACTGAACTTTGCAATAATATCCTCGTATGCGAAGTTCCTCTTTGTATTCGTCCTATTATTTTTGGCGCACGTCTTGTTTCTTTAATCAAACCGGATGGTAGCATTAGACCCATAGCCATATGGTCATTCTTTCGTCGTTTAGTCGCCAAGGCTATTGTAAATAGGATTCGGCCTAGGGCCAGTTCCTTCTTATTTCCTTCACAGTTAGGATTTGGAGTGAGAGGTGGGTGTGAAGTGGCCTCACATGTTGCGCGTATTTTTATAAATACTGAGGCCGATAAGGTATTCTGCAAGTTAGACTTCAGAAATGCCTTCAACACCATCCATAGGAGGGCATTCTTACCATCTTTTTTACACCATTTCCCAAAATACTGGAATTTCCTTAATTCCTGTTATGGATTCCCTTCGTTACTCAAATTCGGGGAATTTTCCATATCCTCCGGAGAGGGGATTCAGCAAGGTGATCCACTAGGTCCCTTGCTCTTTACTATAGGAATTCAGGATTTAATCAAAGATTTAAAGTCTGATTTCAAATTAGACTTTAATTTATGGTATCTCGACGATCTCTTTTGGCGGTTCTTTATCCAATGTTATGTCGGCCATAGAGTACGTTGAAATGGAAGCTTCTAAAATTGGTCTTTCCCTAAATAGGAAAAAGTGTGAAATTTCCTTCCTCAACAATAAGGATTTTATCCTTCCCTTAGATTTTACAATCATTCTGCACGAGAAACTCTGTCTTTTAGGCTCCCCTATCGGTTTTTCAACTTCCTTTTGTCATAAAACTTTTGACGATTTTATCCAGTCCCTTTCCAATTCACTCAAGAATCTTCCTCATCTCCCCAAGCATCAATTCTTCTTTCTCATCAAAAAATGTCTTTTTCTACCGAAATTCTTACATTTATTTAAATCTTCCCCCGCTTTCCAGTACAATACCCTTCTTAAGGCCTTCGAATTAAAATTTAAACATTTTATCGAATCCCCTTTAGGCTTAAATTTTTCCGATTTCAATTGGTCCCTCGCCTTTGTGCCCGCTTACCGGGGTGGACTTAGATTTTCACCCCCCTTCCTAATGGCAATTGCGTGCTTTCTTTCATCTCGAATATCCTTTAACGATTCTATTTCCTCGCTTATCGAGTTGGACGATCCCTTTCTATCTTCAACTAAATAAGAGTGACGACTTACTCTAGTTATCCAAGGCTCTGAGCAGCCAGTTTCCAGTCATCTAAAGAGCTTCCTGGTCTCTATGCTTCAATGCGCGTTTGAAAACTTTGTATGTATCCCGATCTAACTAACCTTCCACTGCTCAGAAACGCAAAAAAATCTCTAACGGCCATGAATGGCTAGACGCGATTCCGAGTGGTAAAAAGGAAACGTTACTCACAGACGATGAGTTTCAAACTGCCATTGGCCATAGGCATGGTTGCCTTATCCCTTCTGTGGACACCTGTGCTGCCTGTCACAAACAGGTTGATCCTTTCTCTAGACATTGTTTTTCGTGTATCAAAGTCAGTGGCCGTTTCCTGAGGCACGACAACCTTAATAGGTTAATCGGCAAAGCCTTGATTTCGGCCGGTTTCCCCAATAGTTTGGAGCCATTAGGTCTCCTAAATGCGGACGGTAAGCACCCCGACTGCATGTCTTTAACGTCTTGGCACGGCGGCAAATGACTTGTCTGGGACCTCTTGTGTTACCTCCTTTCCGGCTAACGGAAATACCGACCCCTTGGAACTACAAGAAACCAATAAGTTTAAATAGATTCCTCCCTAATTCTTTTATATTTATTCCCCTAATTTTTAGCGTCCTTGGAAACCCCGGTCCCCAATCCCTAAAGTTCTTAAATCAATTGGGTAGAAGAATTTCATTAACGACAAGGATCAAAAACTAGTCCCTATCTCTTAAACAAAAAATCCAATTTGAAATCCTAAAGGGAAACTACAAATGTTTTTTCGAAACACTCCCATTTCCCTCCTAGTTCATCAAATATAGTTATTTACAATAAATTTTTAATATAATTTGTATAAAATTTCTACATTTTGTAATTTATTTTATTAAATATTATATATATTTTTTTTATATACTTGATATAATTATTTTATAAAATAATTTTTTCTTATTCCATAATTAATATATAAAATTAAAATCACATTGCCGAAATAACAAATTCACCCTGCCTACCACTTTAACACATTGCGGAAAAAAAAACTAAGCAATGTATACTGCCGAAAATAACACATTGACGCTAACATATACATATATATTTATTTTTATTTAGTAATTTTATATATTATAAATAGTTAGTTATTAAAATTTTTAAATTTAGATGATGTGTAATATTAATAATTAAATAAATATAATCTTTTTTTTTTGAAAAAAAAATTTATATAGAGAATTGTTTATTTTTTTTATTACATTATTTATTTATCTTTATTATATTTATTTATCATTATTACATTATTTATTTATCATTATTACATTATTTATTTATCATTATTACATTATTTATTTATCATTATTAAGTTAACTATTAAATTTTATATTATAGATCAGTCATTTTGGGAAATATGGTCTAGTTGGAGTCAGTGCTCAGTTGAATGTGGCATTGGACATCGATATCGTTACAGAATATGTTTAAATCAAAAAATAAATTCTAAATGTGAAGACTCTTATATAGATACTGAAGAATGTTATTCCAAAAATTGTTTGTCAAAAAATTGTACAAATCTCTATTATATATTATATGTTTAGATAATTTATATACCGTCCATTATTTCTAATTGTTCACGAGAAAGTTTATTAAAATTTACAAGGTCTGTTTTGAATAAAGGCGTATAAATTTCTTAGGTATATAATGCTTAGAATGATATTTAAGCAACTTGTACCCTAATATAAAAATTCTTAAAATATTATTTATAACTTTGAAAAAATGGACATAAAACAATTAATTTTATCTTCAATAAATAAAGTGAAAATGTTCCATATCTAATAATAGAAGCAGCATTTAAAGGTAAAAAATACAAGTTTTAAATGGATATACCATTTTACTAAAAAAATGATATAAATCACATGTCTTAATATTTATAAGTTGATTGGTAATATTGATATTTTGTAAAATAACTGATAGGATAATATAATATTGTCAATAAAAAATTTTGAATTATTTTTTTACATTTTATTTTGGACAAGAATCAATATAAAACTAAAGAATTTATTTATTGGGAAAAAGAACAATAAAATATTGACCCGACGATTAAATTATCTATTAAAATTAAGTGTCAAAATGTTGCCATATTTGATTTGAAATTTAAATCCTAATCTATACTATAAATTTATACTTAAATTTTAGATTATTGACAAATTTGTATTATTTTAAACAATATAAGACACTACTATGTTATCCGAATGGTCAAAATGGTCTATATGTTCAGTTAACTGTGGTATTTATGGTGTACAAAAATCTGAAAGAAAATGCATTTATAAAGAAAATGTTGAAGGAAATACATTCCCATATGATGTAAGAGGATGTTTCATTGGAAATGAGATATATATCGATTCAATAGAAATTAATAGACCTTGTTATGAAATATGCACAAGTGAATATTAATATAGTTTTATATCATGTTATTAAAGTTATTAATAGTTTTTTTTTTTGAAATGAGCACTACGCCCGACCTTTTATATTATTTTTTCTCTATTTTTAAGAAACTAAAATAAAAAGTATATATTTTCTTCGTCAATGTTGCTGTAAATTTTTTAGGCAATATGTTACTAAGTAGGTAGGGTTATATTATTATATCGGCAATACCTTGCGAATATGTACATTGTACTTTGCTAGAATAAAATTGCCAAGTGTTTTTTAAACATATTTATATTATTAATAATTTTTTACTTATTATTATAATGTTATTAAAATTAATTATTTTAACTTATTATTTAAAATTAATTTTTTTTACTTATTATTAATAATTTATTATAATTAATTTTTTACTTATTATTAACTATATTATACCGAAACTAGTAATTATATTTGCTTTCAAAAGTTTGGTATATTCATCTTATCGTCCTGTCTCCATCTTTGAAGGAAATTAATTTTTTTAAAATAATAAAGTATATAATTAAACGCACTCATTTCATCTACCTCTAATCGCCTTTAAGTGTTTTTTAGTTTGTTATTTATCATGCCTATCGATTTATGGTTAATTTTTTTTATTAATTAAAAAAATTTTTTTATCCAACCATTTATTAATATTAAAAAAAGAAATCTACATAATATGTAAATAATCCTCTAAAATTTTCCAATTAATTAATTAATTATCCTCTTAAAGTTAAGAATAATAAATTTTTAATCACTCCTCTATTTATTAAAAAAAATTATATAAAACTTTTCCCCATTAATTATCAATTTATCTTCTAAAGGTACCAAAAAAATGGTTTATATAAAATTTTTTCCTTCCACTTTTTTTACTATTTATTAGGTTACTTCACAGAATTAGAAATCTATCATATAAAATTTTTCGGCAAGGCCGCCCCTAAATTAACTTACATTCGATACTTATATGAATATTTATTTTTTATTTGCTTTAACCCATTTTTTTTTTATTTTGCTCCAAATTTTCATGGTACAAAATCAATTTTTTCCGCACGGTCATCTCTAAATTAACTTATATTCGATGTTTATATTAATACATATTTATTATTTACTTTAGCCCATTTTTTATTTTGGGCCAAATATATTATTGTAAATGCACGACCACACTTTTCATTTATCAAATTTTTGAGTTAGTATTATAACTTCTCCTTTTGTTTCCCCGTTCGAATATTTGTTCTAACAATGCTCTAGGTTTAATTTTTAATACTATTTCTGATGAACTTTGTTATTGCCAACGATATATTTCGGTAATTGTAGAGGAAAGTAGCTAAACTGGTTTCTAATTCCTCCTCGTTTCTTTTATTCTTGCTATGATTAAAAGTTCCAACTAAACGATCGTCCATGCCGCTAATTTGTGCCCCGCAATAATTGTATTACATTTTTATTTTCAAAAATTATTGAATTCTTTACTTCTGAATTGTGGCCCGTTCTCAGAAACGATTATCTTGGGAAATCCGAATCTGGCAAAGATATTTCTTAATATTTTTATGATATTTTCGATGGTTGTACTAGTCGGGAATAACATCTATCACTTCTAACCAATAATGATTTTGAAATAGTCCAGCACAATCAATATATACTCGGTGCCATGCTTTTGGTGATTTTAACCAATTTTGAATTGATGTCTTTTGAGGAATATCGTGTCTAAGATTCTCTACATTTTCGACCCAAACTTCTATATCTTGGTTTATATTAGGCCACCATACGTGTGTATTGCCCTCTTCTTCTTTTTACCATTTCAATATGTCCTTGATGTATAATGTCTGACACGTTGTTTCGGTAATTTTATGGTATTTGTTGAAGTTGAAATTTAATATGAACACGAACTGAAGATGACAAATTAATTTATTAAATATAATCAAAATCATTCTAAAATAACATAAATAAACTAAAAGTAAAAGTATAATCATCAACTAATATATAAAACAAACTAAAAAATTATATAAAAAGTTCCTTTTCTTTATTTTTCTCTCTCGTTTAACATTTTCGATATCTATTTATACTATTAAATACATACCATAATTTAAACTTTTCAATTACTTTTACAATTTAACATTTTATCCTTACAGATTTTATATTCAAATTAACTGTTTCTTTAAAATTATAATTAATTAAATACACGTATTCGACAGTATTATTAGTCTTCACATTAAACAGCCTCTCTCTGTTGTGAAATCCTTTCTTCTTTGGCTATACTTCTTTAAGCATGTATCATAGTATTGGTCATCCTCATATTGTATCATGTATACTTTAGAGAGTACATCATCTTGCATTGTTTTTTTTCAATTTGCATTCAAAGATGTTTGTTCTCCCACCTATTTTTGATCTAGTGTTTCTTCTTTTGATATTGTGGTTCCTTATATAGTTAATCGAGATAGCATATGGCTATTTGTAGGCTATTTTTGAATTCTATTTCATGATGGTAACCTGTTAATAATACCCAACATTGTATTTTGAGTGGATGTTGTTATATCTTTTCTTGGATAAAATAAACTCATTAATGGTTATTTTCCATATAAATTCTTTGAATTTTGTAACACAATATGATGGCAAGAGCTTCTCTTTCTATTTGGCTATAATTTTTCTCTGCTAAATTTAGCGTTCTCGAGGCATTGGTCTCTCCGTTCCCTTTTCTATATGCGATATTACTGCCCCAATTCCATGGCTGAAACATCTGTTGCTAGTAGAATGGTTCTTGCTTTATTTGTTTATACGCGTCTTTGCACATTCATTAGTCCATCTCCAAACTATTGTTTTTTCTAATAATTTGTATAATGGTTTGGCTCTGTCTGAAAAATTTGAATAGTATGTTGCTGATCCTGGAAATGACTGTAATTGTTTTAAGTTAGTTGGTTCTGGGACTTTTTTTACTGTCTCAGTATCTTTTCTATAGTTGTAATCCCATTTTTTGATATATTATGACCTAAGTACTCGACACTATGTTTGTAAAATTTACATTTTTCTATCTTTAGCTTGATACCATATTTGTTTAAACATTTTAGTATCTTTTATTAATTTGATTTGTGGTTCGCTCTATTTTTCCCGGTTATTATAATATCATCTAAATAACAAGCTACTCCTTCTAAATCTTTTGATAAATTCTCGATGCCCCGTTGAAATATTGCTGGAGAAGACGATAAGCTAAAAGTTAGTCTTGAATATTTAAATAATCCTCTATGCGTATTGATTACAAGATATTTTTATGACTCTCCACCACTTATTTGATAATGGGCCTTTGAGAAGTCCAATATTAAAAATTCTTCTCCTTTTCCCAACTCTAATAAATCTGGATTCTTAGTATTGGGTATGAATCAATATTAATATTTTGATTTATCTTTCTTTTAAATTCCCCTCAAATTCGTAATGATTATCTGTCTTTTGAATCATTATTATGGTGATGCACAAGGTGAATGATTAATTTTTTCTATTACTTCTATCTTTAGCTCTGTCTAAATCTTCTTTAACTTTTTTTAATGCATATGGTAATGGACATTTTTTACAGAAATTTGGTTTCTCTTTTTTCTTATGTATTTGTGCCTTAAAATCTTTCAACAACCCAATTCTTTGGTAAATATTTGAGGAAATTCATTTTGTATATTAATGTTATTTATTTGTATGGCTATTTCAGGCATTTTAGTCATCTTAGGTAATTTAGTTTACAATTTCTTCTAATTAGATTTTTTTGAATATCCTTTTGTAATTATGAGAGGTCATTCTAATGCTCGTCCTTCATATTGTACTTCTACTTACCTGTATAGCTATTAATTTTTAGCATGCAATTTGTTAATTCAGGACGATTAAGTATATTTTTCTAATCTATTTCGTTTATTATGCTTACCCTAGCTCCTCTAATTCCATTCTGATATTGCTGTTGATTATTTTGATATCCTTCCAAAATTCTGGATTATATTCATTTGTTATATTATTAATAAAATTCACAATTTATTTTCTACAGATTCGAGCAATGTGCCCAATTTTGTTGTTATAACAAGTGGCATTCTTGAAAGGCAATTTTATTATATTTATATTATCATGTTCATCTCCTAACTGATGAATTGTTGCTTCATCTATTTGTATTAATTTTGTGTTTTTTATAGCTGCGTCGCAGTAACTATCTGAATAGTCTTATTTATATCTAAATCATCCTTGGATAATAATCTTTGTATAGGATTTTTTAGTCCAAATATGAATTTAATTCTTAAAACAGTATTTAAATATTATCCAAATTCACAAGTCATTGATAATTTTCGAAGATTTTTTATTGAAAATGAAGTAAAAAGTTAATATAAAAATTCTAAATTAAATAAGTGTAGCGCAATAATCGGCGATTCACACATATTTAATTAAATTTTCTAAATGACTTGAGCCATAATAACTATTAGAATCAAATTAGATGGTTTCAAGATTTCATAACTTTAAAAATAGTACCACGAACTAAGGATCGAATTGTTTAGGGCGATGTGAAAATATAGCAATATCATAAATAATATATTATCACTGGTTTTATTTAGAGGAAAATAAATTGACATTCTAAATTATTTTTCCCTAGCTACTATACTAACATTGCTAGTATATTATCACTGGTATTATTTGGAATAAAATAAATTCATAAATTATTCTAAATCGTTTGTCCGAGGGTTGATGCAATGCTATTGGCCCTAGACACTATATTATAAAAAATATAATTTGTAATATATTAAACTCATCTACGAAATTATTCCAGGATGGGATGTCATAATCAGTTTTTCGAAATATGCTGATTCGGGTTTATATATTATTGAATTTATATTATTAGGCATTCAAATGTATTAATGATTATCCAAATTCGGAATATAAGGAATGAATATGGTAAAATATTATATTCGAAAATTTGGAATTACTATACTACTATCAGAAGAAAATATATAGGAAATTATTCGAATATATGATCATTTTTACGAAACA